AGTATTCAAATGTGTTGTTAAATCTGTCGAGTCGCAAAGTCCTCCCTGTTCCCATAAGAAATCAATTGTTGTTGTTGTTAATTTACGTCGCACTAGAGCTGCACAATGGGCTATTGGCGACGGTCTGAGAAACATCCCGGAGGATGATCCGAAGACATGCCATCACAGTTTTGATCCTCTGCGGAGGGGATGGCACCCCCGCTTCGGTAGCCCGACGACCTGCGNCACATTTTTTGCTACTACATAATATTTTTCAGTCATTTATTTGAATAAAGTGTAATAAAAGGGAGGAGTTTGGGAACCATTAGTAAAACTGCCTGCGTTACGGATATAGTGAACACCCGGTTATAGTGAAATGAAATTTCGGTCCCTTGAAGGTTCACTATAGCGAGGTTTGACTGTATAATAAATTGCAAACGAAAGGTAGTAAAACGAATTGCATAGTATAGTAAAATCTAAAATCTAGAATATAATCACATTTTTTGTAGGAGTTTTAAAAAATTTATTCTTGCAAACTTAAACATTTTAACGATTCGTTTTTCGAATTTCGCTTAAGAGTTTTGAAAATTTAAAGTCATATAGGGCCATTTTAAATTAGGAATTTTATAGAGAAAAAGTTTTTTTTTTGCGTTTGCTTATGTGAAATTAGAAATCCTGAAATCTTAATTTTATTAAAAATAGGTTTGAACTAACTCCAATTATTTCAGTATTTTTAAAATAAAGCGAGTATTCAAATGGGTTGTTAAATCTGTCGCGCAGCAAAGTCCTCCATGTTCCTTTAAGAAATTAAAACCTCTGGGGGTACTGATCCAAGAGTTTCCTGGTCTTCTGGATTGGGCTCAAAATTACAAGGCTACGGAGTTGAACATTAGTGGTCGCAAATCTAGAATCTGGTTATCTAGAATATAATCACATTTTTTGTAAGAGTTTTCAAAAATTTATTCTTGCAAACTGAAGAATTTTAACGATTCGTTTTACGAATTTCGCTTAAGAGTTTTGAAAATTTAAGGTCATATAGTGCCATTTTAAATTAGGAGTTTTATAGAGAAAAAGTTTTTTTTTGTTTGCTTATGTGAAATTAGAAATCCTAAAAACTTAATTTTATTAAAAATAGGTTTGAACTAACTCCAATTGTTTCAGTATTTTTAAAATAACGAGAGTATTCAAATGTGTTGTTAAATCTGTCGAGTCGCAAAGTCCTCCTTGTTCCCATAAGAAATCAATACCTCTGGGGGTACTGATCCAAGAGTTTCCTTGTCTTCTGGATTGGGCTCAAAATTACAAGGCTACGGAGTTGAACATTAGTGGTCACAAACCAAAAATTGGGTCAGCTGTTCAACGACGGATATTAAAAAAAAATTATTAAATTTAAAAAATGGGATATTCCGCCAGTCACAGTAATCCATATGGGACAATCTAGTTTTCCACATTACACACATTATCTAATAGATCGCACTTGTTTTTTTTTTAAATGGTAGTCTTATTTGTCTTGCCGGGTATAATTTCAGCAAATTTGCAAGGATTCCACATTATTTAAAACATTTTCAAATTTTTAAATTCCAAACGAATTGAAAAAAAAGTGGTATATAAGGGAAGCCGGAAGTTTAGACATTGTAGAATTTTAAAAATGTTTAAAATTAAAGGAAAATTTAGAAGCTGTTTGGACTTTGAGAAATTCTGAAGGCCCAAAGAATTTCCGACAATTCAAACAGATAAGATATTTTGACAGGAATAAAACGTTTAAAGAATTTTTTTTTTCCAATTTGAAAAAATTGGAAAGAAAGCTCTTGAAAATTTAAACATTTTCTAAGTACAATTTCTTTTTTAACTTCAATAAATTTTTAAAGTTCAAACAACCTCAAAATGTTTCTAAATCCAAATCATGTGGAAAATTTTTTATATCCAAACAATTTGACAATTTTTATAAGTACAAATAATTTTTTTCGAGTCAAAAAATTTCCTAAGTATAGATAATTTAAAAAGTTTTCTAACAAAGATTTGACACTTTTTTAAGAATTGTTTTTCAAATTTTCAAGGAACTTTTTTTTAACTTCATGAAGTACAGTTTTTTTTTATTAACTTCATGAAGTACAGTTTTTTTTTACTTCATAAAGTACAGTTTTTTCTTAACTTCATAAAGTACAGTTTTTTTTAATTAACTTCATGAAGTACAGTTTTTTTTTTACTTCATGAAGTACAGTTTTCTCTTAACTTCATAAAGTACAGTTTTTTTTTTACTTTAAGAAATTCTCTTAGTTCAATAAACTTCAGAATTTTTCAAAGTAGAAACAAATTAAAAACTTTTCTAAGTGCAGTTTTTTTTTAAAATTTGTCTAAAACTCTTCAAATATTCAGTTCATACAAGTTCAAAATTTTTAGAAGTCCCAACTTCTTATATTCCTTATACATCCATTTTCTCTACAACTTCTGTTTTCTGTCATAACTTCAGAATATTTTTAAATTTATCTGTGAACACACAACGTTTTCAATTTGAAAAACCTCTTCTAAACCTAGACAATTTAAAAAAATTTTCAATTGTTTAAGCAATTAAAAATATAATTCCGATCGCCTAGATAAAAATATTTTCAAAGTTAAAAATTTTAAACAAACTCAAAATATTTCTGGGTTCAAGAAATGTGAACATTTTTCTAAGTCGAAAACAATACGAAAATTTTTTTTAATAAAAATTTTCTTAAGTTGAAAAAAATTTTTTAGCCTTAACAATTTAAAAAATTTTCTAAGTATAGTTTTTTTTAGTCAAGAAATTTTCTTAGTTTAATATACTTGAGAATTTTTAGACGTCTGAAACAATTTTGAAATTTTTTCTAAATACAAACAATTTTTTTCCTAATTTGTCTAAATAACTTCATATATTGTTTCAATTCCTACAGCTTCAAAGTCTAAACTTCTGCTACTTAAAATATTTTGAAGTTGTTAATATTGAAAATTTCTGCAGTTGTTCGACATAGTAATATTTTCAAACAGTTTAGACTTAGAATAATTCCGATACTGTTTGCACTTAGAAATATTTTGAGTTATTTTAGACTTAGTAATATATTCGAACTATTTGGACTTAGGAAAACTCTGACGTTTTTTTGTACTTAGAAATATTTTATAGTTTTTTGTACTTAGACATATTTTGAAGATTCTTAACTATTCTCTAGACATAGATTAAAAAAATCTTAAGCTGTTAATATTTTTTAAAATTCTGAGGTTGTTTAAACTTAGAAATATTTTAAGGTATTTTAGACTGAGTAATATTTTCAAACTGTTTAGACTTAGAAAAATTCTGATGTCGTTTGAACTTTGAAATATTTTGAGGTACTTTAGACACAGTAATATTTTCAAACAGTTTGGACTTAGAATAATTCTGAAGTTGTTTGTACTTTGAAATATTCTGAAGTTGTTTACATTTAGAAATATTTTGAGGCGGTATCAAGAAGTCAAATCAAGATTGGGGAGCTATTTTCTCTTGTGCGTTATGCTTTCCTCTATTTGATCATTTTTTAACGAGTTTATTTATAGTTATACATGCAAAATTTATAAATTTGGTCATTATTAAGCATAAAAATACAAGCTCATAGGCTTACTTGTATAAAAATACTTATTTTTTTTTTACTTTACAATAGACAGAATTTAAAATTTTTTATCCATCTATTAGATAAAATGGCTCGATAAAGGGTAAAAAAAATCGGTATTTTCAAAACCATATGAAAAATTCGTTGTACTAAAAACTAACAATAGAAATAGCTTGTATTTGCCATAGAATTGACACAAACAAAGCACATCAAAGGTGATTACTATTTGCAGGATTTGAAAATTGCGATCCATTATAATATATCGCATTAAAAAGATTGAGAGATTAAGAAACAGATGGTAATCCGACAATAACCTTCAGAAACGTTATCGATTTAATTATGAAATGGACTTACAGAGCTTTAAAAGCGATTACTAAAATTCGAAATTCATTTTGTCATAGTTCATTTTATAACCGTCGTTGAACAGCCGACCCAATTTTGAGTTTACGACTACTAATGTTAAACTTCCAAGCCTCGTAATTTTGAACCCAATCCAGAAGTCAAGGAAACTCCTGGATCAAATTTTGGGAGAGATTTGCCATCGTGGAAGACTTCTTGTCGGAACCAACCCGCATTTGCGTTGTATGTAGAGGAAAACCACGAAAACCTGCCACTGTTATCCTGATTGCAAGGGGACTCTAACCCATGATCCGTCTATGACTAAGGATAATTTTACGTCAGATCGGAGAAAGTCGGGTGCGGGATTCGTATCGACCAGCCGTCGCTGGGATTCGAACTCAGCTCAACTCGTCTCGTTGGTTGGCGAACGCTCTATCTCCTGAACCTGTCAAATTAAAATTGCCGGCATTTTTGAGAAACTTTGGAAATTCGTAGTGCTAACCACCGAAAAATGTGATCAAGAAAGTATATTTAGATTAAGTTAAACTTAGAATAACTTAACAAAAACTTAAATGCGCAATTTAAAATTTCTGAATTTTTACTTCTTTACTTATTTATCTTTTTATTGCAAAAAAATTCATAAAATTTTTTTATTACTGTTCAGGTGCTACCGCGCATCGCAGTTTGTGCAGCCTTATACATGTTATGTACTATTTCTAGATCGTATGCCCTCAAACCTCATGCTCTCCTAAACGCCGCGGGGGTTTGCGGGCTGTTATTTACGCCATTGAACTAAAACTGTTATAATATTGGTTACTGTACTGTTATTGAAACTGAGAAAAGAAAAAAAACTCATGTAAAAGACCTGAGAATCAATTTCGATTCACAGAGATCTGCGGATAAAAGAAGTTTGAATAATCGATTAAAAAAAATGTATCGATAGGAAAAATTGCGACAAATTAAAATGCTTCTGATGAGTTTTTAATGAATTGCTGATGCTTTGAAAATCGACTACGACCGTAACTGTAGAAGAAGAAATTAAATAGTCTGTTGCAATCGTCAATTGATTATATTTCACTTAATACCCTTGGATCGTTTTCGTTCGCCGGATTCCAGAGATGAATACACTCTTTCGGAAATTGAAAAAGCTTCCAAGTTTGCGATTTCTGTTTCTAAATTCCCAATATCCTATGATCTAATTAAGACTATAAAAGAAGAATTAACTTTGAATGATGACAAAAGAGGTAATTTATTATTTTTATTTATTTTTGATGGATATTACCACTTTAGCAGAGATGCCAACTGAATTTTTTTTTATTATTTTATTTTATAACTGTCGTGGAACAGACGGCCCAATTTTTCGGTTTACGACTACTACTAATGTTCAACTCCGTAGCCATTTGAACCCAATCCAGAAGACAAGGGAACTCCTGGATCAAGTATTGGGAGAAATTTTCCTTCGTGGGGCACTTTTTGATGGAACTCACCCACATTTGCGTTACATGGAGAGGAAGACTACGAGAACCTCGCTCGGTTAGCCTGACGGCAAAGGGACTCTAACCCATGATCCGTCTACCGCTTAGTGTATTTCACGTCAACACTATGCGGTCGGTGCAAGCTGGATGCGGATTCGTATCGGCAAGCCATTGCTGAGATCGAACCCGGTTCACCTCATTTGAAGGCGAACGCTCTATCCCCTGAGCCATCGCGACTCTAATTGTTCCGGATTTTAATTTTATTTTATATCCGTCGTTGAACAGCCGATCTAGCTTTTGGGTTTACGTCTACTCATGTTCAACTCTGTAGCCTTGTAGTTTTGAACTAATCCAGAAGACAAGGAAACTGCGGGATCAGTACACCCAGAGGTGCGATCTGTTTTGGAAACATGGAGGACTTCGTGACTCGACAGATTTAACGTGAATCAGTCACCATTTATTGCACGAGGAGTCTTCGGCCTGTGGGGATCGAACCCACGACCTCTTGGACATGGGCCCAGTGCCCGACCAATCAGGCTATCCCGGCTCAACTGCTCCGAAGTGAAAAATATGTTTTTAAAAACATCGTAGAGAACTGGAACCTAAAATGTGCATATTATGCCAACTTTTTATGACGCTCAACAAGCAGGCCTGCCAACTTTCTACGCTTTTTGCAAAAAAATTCTTCCAGTGGTAGCTAAGTTTACGCTTTAATGTATTATTCTTTCTTTTATAAATATGATTTAAGGTTACTTTTCACACCACTACCTGTAAATGATACGAAAGCTTATATTAAAATCCATTTTTTTACTAACATTCCCGCAGTAAGGCTTTTAAAATGTTGGTAAAATTATCAAAAATTCTGTAAGCTTTAGTTCTTAATTACCTACCACTGCATGAAATATTTAAAAATAAAGCCTAGTACTTGGTAGCAGTGAACATGTCTTGTGACTATAAATCGAATTTACTAAGTCACAGATTTAATGACTACCACTCGAAAATAATTATTCGCTGTCCGGAGCAAGTTGGCACTTTTGCCTCTTAATACTCAAGATGCCTACTTTTATATCAAAATACTGATAATTATACGGATACTGATAATAATTATATACTGATAATAGTTATACTACTTTCATATAAAAATACTGATTTCTGCTTCTAAATACTCAAGATGCTACTTTTATACCAAAAAATGCTAATAACTATACTGAAACTGATAAAAATTATATACTGATAATAATTATACTACTTTTATATAAAAATACTGATTTCTGCTTCGAGCTGAATCTGAATTCTGCTGATTCGAGATGCCCAATGTTATATCAAAAAATACTGATAATAATTATATACTGATAATAATTATATACTGATAATAATTATATACTGATAATAATTATATACTACTGATAATCATTATACTACTTTTATATCTGAATACTGATAAATATATCTTAGTAGTAGCCACAGCGATTTATAGAATTTAAAATGTGGTATCTAAAATTGTTTCAAACTAATAAGTAAAAGATTTTAGTTAATTTTTAGCTTATGACTTTATTTTATTATTAGAACATAGCTCAAATCTCAGTGCCTCATTAACTGATTCGTCTGATTATTGATACATATAATTGGAGGGAATGTGAGAAGTGGAAGCAAAATTGAGGGGAGAGGTAATAGTAAAGTAATGAGTGGGAAAGTAGTCTGTGGAACATATGATGAAATCGATATGAAATTAAATATATTATTTTAAATTAGTTATATTATATTAATTACATATATATATATATATATATATATATATAACAC